CCAGGCCGAAGGCTCCCTGCTATTGCCCAAGCCCTGGCAGGTTGCATGGCTTGGGCGTTTGCCCTGGGCTGCTGGTAGTATGCCAGCCACAGCGCAGTCCTAGGGTCTGCCCAGTGCTGCCCTGCTGAGCTGGCAGCTCGGGGGGCCTGGAGGGCGCTCCTGCTGCCTGGCACAGACGCGCGTGGGCTGCTGCGAATGGGAGTGGGTACTGTTGCTGCGAACCCTGGTGGAAGGGGTGGGGGTGAGGGGGGTCGGGCTTGAGGGAAGTTCTCTAATCATCTGCTCTTTGGAAGAGGAGGATGGAGTGAGCCACACCAGGTGCCAAACAGGAGGTTGTATGGGAGTGGGGTTTAGGATCTTTGACATGAATCTTTGCGGCCAAGTTGAAGAATAAAAATGGATGTGAAGGGAAAGATGAATGTGAAGAGATCTAGGTTTAACCGGGAGGTAAAGGGGTTGTTCCCTGTTAAAATACACAGACATTTCCCCAGAATGGTATCTCCCAACATGCAGACCAAGAGAAAACGACTTCTGTAATGTATTCATAATTCAAACTGGGATTACCCATGGTTTTCTGGGCTGTAAGGCCTTAGTTTTTTCTGGCCTTGTTACTTTATTGTAAGGTCTCTGCTTGGGCTTTCTCTTCGCAACTCTGTCCATGCGTGGCTGTTAGACATGTGACACATTTTAAAGGAAACTTGAGCTCTCGGGAAAGTTGCCAAGTATCTATAAAAGGAGAGATCTGAGAGCAGCATTTCAGATTCTTTCCTTGTAAACCTTGGGTGTCCTTTTTTTTTTTTATTCATAAGCCTACATCATCATAGAGATTGTTTTTGGATTAGACCAACCTTTAATTCGGTTGATGGATTTATCCCTGAGTTTTCATCTTAGATTAAGGGGTAGATGAGAGATCTTCCTGCAGGAGACCAGAGCTGGAAGTTAGGTCTTGAGGTAACCATGGCGTTTGGAAATGCCGACTCTTGACCTTCAAGCTGTTCAGGTATTTCAGTGACAGCTAAGCTGCTAGGGCTGTCAGCGAGGCGCAGCAGGAGAGGGGATTTGCAGGCATTTATTATTCTGTTGAGTATCTCACACATATTGTTGGGAGCTGAGGTTGCAAAGATTAAAAAAAAACTGTTGAGGTTGAAGAAACAACTAATTTG